ATCTACAATTTGTTGAATTAACGAAAAAAAAAACGAGGACTAAATCAATAGAGATTCGAAATTCAAAGCATTCGATCATCTGGTTTTGTTCAAATTTGGCATTTTGTCTACGAAGAAGGAAATTTGTGTTTTAACGCGATTGTGAATTAAGGTTTTGGTTTTGGATATATATTGAATGAGGATAAGAGGTGAAATTGCGTATGAAGACGAAGGGGAGGGAGAGTACGAAGAGATGGTGGGTGCACAGAAATATTCCTTAGTGGCAGAGTTTCCTCTGTCGAGGAAGCTTGTGGTTGTTGGTTACGCTCTTACGTCGAAGAAGATTAAGAGCTTTCTGCAGCCCAAGCTTGAAGGTTTAGCTAGGTAATTCATACGTGCCTCAAAAACTTCACCTCCGGATAAAAACTAAACGGAATTTTATTTTCTCTGATTAAATATGAAAAATTAGGTGTTTTCATCGTTTTTTCCACCTTGAAACTGCTAGGGAAGGAAGGGTTTTTGTAGTTTTACTCGAGAGATGTTCATATCCTTTTGGTTTTCGAAAGAATTGATGATGAATCTCCGGTTTTTTTTCCTTCGCGGGAATATTCCTCGTTTGAAAGATTCTGGTATCTTTAGCTGTTGATTTGCTTTCAGATTCCAGAATATTCAACGGATTTAGGTACTATTCGTATGTGGTAATGTGTTAGAGGGGATCTTCTCGAAAAATTGATCTTTAGATTCTTTGCGTGGCCAGTTGGAATTCCTGATTTTGTGTTTTTTATAATATATTGGTATGAATATTCTACTGGTAGTATGCTTTGTGTCCTGTGGACAACAAACTTTCTGAATGTTACAACCACCATTCCTATCTGAAAAATCCTAAGATATTTTGTGGCATGTATTATCTAACTGAAAATATTTATTTAGAATGATACAATTAATGTTGGAATTTTTATTTAGTAAAAAGTTTGAGTTTTTTTTTTTGTCACTAACAGTTTGAGTTTGATTATTGCTCACTGGTATCATGTTGAGTCTGCTTGCTGGTGGATTTAGCTGAAAACATTGAGTGGGGTTTGAATGAGAACTTATATGTTTGCATTGGGCTTAGTCATTCTGTTCTTTTTTGTTTTTGATGGAGGGGCCATACTTGTTTACAGCTTGCTGTTTTCCTTGGTCTCCTTTTGATGTTCCTTTGCAACTTTAACTGTCCCATTTTGACCTACATATCATATTTCTTATTCACAATGGTCAACATGTCATAGGATTCATGCTACTAAACTTGTTGATATTGATGCATTTAAGATGCTAAAGGTGTCCCTGCAATTACATTTGTTCTTTGACATTATATAGTAGGCTTTTTTTTTTGCAAAGTGTTACAGAGAATGCTGCTCTGTCATGTTTTCTCGGACATCTCACCACTGGTTTAAATTTTTTCGTATTTTTGGAGGTCTATTTCTCTTCAAATCTAATAACTAGGTAATTTAATCTGTTGGTTTCTTGGAATACAGGAGTAATGGGATACTATTTGTTGCTATTGATCAAAGCAGGCCCCTCTCTGATCAAGGTCCTTTCGACATTGTGTTGCATAAGGTAAGTAGAGATTTGTGGGTGTTCATTGACCCAATTCTAATGAGTAGGGATTCATATACTGATATTTATGCTCTGAAACTGTATGATTTTTTTTTTGATAGATATGGATCTCCCTTGTGTCTAATGAAGCCTTTTTTCTTCATTAATTGCAGTTATTAGGAAAGGAGTGGCGGTGTGTTCTCGAGGTTGGTCATTTTAAAATCATTTAGTGTCTACATTCATATTAGAAAGTAATTTTTTTGACTCATTGATCATTATGGGACAACTTAGTTTAGTATACTATTTATGGTGACATATGGTATAATGTGGATTATACATGGCTTCACAATACATTTGTACTTTCAGTCTGTGTCCAGGATTTTTGCATTTTATGTAGACTGTTATGCTCAATTGCATTGGTTCTTCTTACTTTTCTTTGCCTCTGTTTCAAGGATTACCGGCAAACACATCCAGAAGTCAAAGTTCTTGATCCTCCAGATGCCATACAGCATGTACACAATCGCCAGTCCATGCTTCAGGATGTTGCTGACTTAAACATGTCTGATGCCTATGGTAATTTTTTGTACTATTTCCTATGAATTGTGGAGAATATTTTCTAGCTTACATGGCAAGCATTTAGTCGTTGATTTTAGGTTCATAATTGACAATGGTGGCAAGTGAGGTAGTTTTCACATCAATGTTATTTTTGATATGGACAGAATCTGTTTTGCTTACATTTTTATGTAACAGTATTAATGGTAATGTTTAACTGTTACACAGGAAAAGTTTATGTTCCAAGGCAATTGGTAATCAAAAAAGATCCATCGTCTATCCCTGATGCTGTTACTAAAGCTGGGCTGATACTGCCTCTTGGTATGTTTGTGTTCTATATGCAGATTCTACACAATGATTCTGGGCATGTGATTTGGCTTAACTACTAGCTTGCAGCACAGTGCTTTGCAATTGTAAATGCCCGGTTTAGGTATCTGGAAGTTGATTATGGACCTGGGATCTGGCTGTTTTTTCCCTTTACTGTTTTGTCCTTGTTTGCCAAATATAATGTGGCAGAGGCTGATAATTTTAGGAAATTCAGAATTGAACTTGGTATTTAGCAATAATACACCAATGAGATTGGTTTGTTCTATATGTTTCAGTTGCAAAGCCTTTGGTCGCAAAGTCACATGAGCTATCATTGGCTTATGATCAATACTCTCTCCAGAACCTCGAACCCCCACTTGTTCTACAGGAGTTTATTAATCATGGTAGGCAAGTGTAGCACATCCAGTGTTCAATCCTTTTACTGTTACCACTTGTGTCTGAGTACATCCTGAAATGCACTGTCATTGTTGTTGTAGGAGGTGTTCTCTTTAAAGTTTATGTTGTTGGAGAAGCAATTAAGGTTGTGAGGCGTTTCTCTTTACCCGACGTTAGTAAATGCGAGCTTTCCCAAAATGCTGGTGTATTTCGCTTTCCAAGGGTTTCTTGTGCTGCTGCATCTGCAGATGATGCAGACTTAGACCCCTGTATTGCTGGTGAGGCCATCCTCCTCTACGGGGTTGATGTTTATTAACCTTGTTTCTCTCCTTAGTTCTTATATGTTGCCTATATGTTTTGCTGGCTTGTCATGCATTGGCCTGAAGCATGGACTTCTGAAATTATATATAACCTTATCCTCTCTTCCCACAGAGCTTCCTCCACGACCTTTACTTGAGAGACTGGCCAGAGAACTTCGTCGTCGACTGGTACTTTGCTGTTTCCCTTAATGATTTCCAGCAATATGATGATACCTTCTAGCCCTTTAATCTGTTAATTGATCAGTATTTACACACACTCTGTGATGGTGTTCTTTTTTTAGGGTCTTCATCTTTTCAACTTAGATATGATTCGAGAGCATGGAACCCGAGACCACTATTATGTCATAGACATCAACTATTTTCCTGGTAAGGGAAAACTCATATAATCTAATATCTTCTTGTTCAGTGGTTGACTATTGTCTCTCTGTAGTTTTTGTTAAATATCTTCCTGTAGTTTTAAGATACATTCCTTAACTTGTAGGCCGATGTTTCTCAGAGAAGTTAAGGAAGTTGGTATATTACATCTCTCTGTAGTTTTGATATACCTACTTCCTTAACTTCTCTGAGAAACATCGGCCTCTAGGCTTGCCCACATGCACTGTGATTTTACCTCCACCTTGTTTACGAGAATATAACTGTGTTTAATCTTTTGAACGTGTAACCTTATTTTTACATGGTTCGAGTATCTATTGCAGGGTATGGGAAAATGCCAGAATATGAGCACATATTTACTGACTTTCTCCTGAACCTGGTTAAAGGCAAGTAGAAGCGCCCATCTTGTAAACGCTGAAGAGATTAAGGGATATGCGATGTGGAAGATAAACTTTATATTTTTATTCCACCGAAACAAGTTCATACAGATGAATCTATGCATCATATGGGGGCTTTGAATAATTGTGGAAGTGCAAGTAAGACCCAATACTGCTGGCCATGGGAAAACTCGGCCACTTTTGAAGCAACCAGGGTGTGAACAGTTTCACCTAGGCTTCCAGTTTCATTTCAACTGTCTTGTATATTTTTTATATTTGGTTCTTTTGGTTTTCTACATTTCATTGTATGCTGTAAATAGTTGATGGAATCACACAGCTGGCTGTTGTAGGCGTTTGATTTGTGTGGCCGATTTCCCTCTAACTTGTACATAAAAGCCACAGGCTGTGCAAGACACCTTGTACATCTTGTGTGGTTGATCTTGTACATTCTTTGCTAGTGTTTGAAGGCCTGCATGTCATCCTTGTCGATCATTTGGTTTTTGTTCTTGTTGGTATTGATGCTGCACTATGGAACATTGTTCCTCAAAACGATGATGACTTGCGCCATATGATATAGAAGCTGAAAAATGTGGGATGAGAGGATCTTGATAATCTAAGAGTTCTTCCTACTTAAACCTTTTCTTTTTTCTTTTTTGATTCAACGGTCAGGGATGTCTGGACCAATTTATCACATCTAATTCTCTATTAAGTTCGATTAAAGTCAAGTCATCTACGCAAAGACTAAGATATTTAAGAAGGTTAAATTTTTTATAATCTGGTTTTAAGGACTTATCTAGATTCGAATTTAGAATGTTTGATTTTATGGCTCATTTTGTTACAATTTTGAACCTTTTCCATGACAACAGAATAAAGAAGCATTTGAGGATTTATTGATTATTTCTAGTGTGGAGGAACTCTTTGTTCACAATAAGCAGGCTTGTAGGGGATTGTCAATAACAATTGTTATAGCTTAGTTTGATTTGGAAGGCTTGATCTGGTAATAGAAGTTACCCCCACGACCTACAAGTACAATTCACCACGTCTACCACGTTTTATGAAGAACAATGTCTACCATTTCTTGCTCTTTTTTATGCATAGCGGGAATTGCTATGCTAACAAGAGTTCTAGCCTTCTCATTTCATTCAGGATTATCATCGAATTGGTATCGGACATAGACAGATTACATACAGAAAAAGGCATACCGCCTCCAGAACTTTTTCTAACTGCAATTCATTTAACTTCTTCAATCAACAGAACCGATATCCAAAGGTGGGCATAATCATGAGCAACAAAAATACCATCAAACAAAGTCAGAAATAAAACGCATTGAAAAAACTATTGGCATAATGAACGATTACTACTGGGTGGTCTTGGGCAGCTGTGGAGGAGAAGAAACAACAGTTTCAGCAACAGCATCATCCGTGACGAGAGCCCACTCAGGAGGAAGCAGAGGAAGAGGAGGGTAAACGGTGGGCCCATGTCGAATGTCCCAAGCCTGAGACTTGCGGGGTCGCGTCTTCATGTGGTGTTTCGTTGCCTTCTTCTGTGGCCGCGATGAGGACTCTATCACTACCTTTACGCCACCAACGCTGCCGCCCACTCCTGGTGCTACCTTGGTCGCACCACCGCCGACACTGGACGAGGAGAGAGAATAATGGATAGGCACCACCACCATTCTCAAGCAAAATAGAGCTGAAGCCGACATTTTTCTTCACAAGAATGCTTAGACGTTTGAGACTTCCACTCTTCGAGTGTGAAGATAAAATAAAAAGTGTTTGGCCCTTTGATTTGGATTACGGACGTTATCCTCTATGCTCAACTTCCCAGTTCCCATTAAGGGCATTTTTGGATGGTTTTGGATTACGGACCTTTGAATTGGTTTTATCTAATTTTTCCAAACATAACTCTCACTTTTGTTTCCATGAAATTTATAGATGAACTAGTTATAATTTGTCTAAATGCACGATAAAATATAAATTTGAATCCAAAAAAATCAATCTCACTATATTAAATAATTTTTTTTTTCATTTCTTTGAGTACATCATTCAAATTTTATTTTTACTCATTATTTTTTTAAAAATATTGACAAAATTTTTTCAAAATATGTAATTCGATAAAATTTTTTCAATATAAGTATACTATCGTGTATAGATAATATCTGAACTAAAAATTATGTTAAACTACAAATTAATCAAATATTAAATATTTAAACATGTGATATAAATGAGTAATATGATTTTGTTGGAAGGAGAGAATGTATTGAAGATAAAATTTAATTTTCTATGTATTTTATTATATAGATTTTATTCATAGTAAGTAACAAATACATATAATTTATCACCATTATTACCATACATTTTGTCTTGTAAATGACTATATTACCTATTAACCAATTAAATCTTTACCCATATTTGTTTAATTGTAGATAGGAGCAATTGGGCGGGATTGAGATGTGATCTGGTAGATATAATATTTTATTAGGGATAAAAAGGTTTTGACTAGGAGTTGAGGAGTAGTCTCCACTCCCATATCCGCTTCAAAAATATTCGTCTATCCCAATTCATCCTTCATTAGCTGGAAAAATTTTAATCTCCATCCCTGTCAGGTAAATTTGACTCTCTTCTTCAAACTCCCCCAAATCCAATAAATAAAAAAGTCTAAGAGTGTGCCCTCCTTGTGTAAATAAATTTGAGCAAAAATAAACTTGAACCGGTGTTAAATATGAAAAGACCTAAATTTTTATTTAAATTAAAGGAGATTCAAATTTTTACTTAAATCATCAACAATTAGATTATATTTATTTTTAAAGATCATATTTTACTTTATTTTACATTCAACTTTATCATCTTTTAAATAAAGAGTAGTGTTTTTTGAATCTAAAAATTTAAACTAATTTGTTAACCTAATTACGTAGTTGTGACATGATACAATAATAGTGTTGTGGTGACTTTAATTCTTTGACTTTTTTGTTACAACTCCATCACTTTACATATTATCATGGTAGAAAATTAGGTCAAGTTTTTATGGTCTAAACAGCATTCCTTTTAAATAAACACTTTTCAATTGAAAAATAAATATTTGGGTTTAAGAAGAATTATGGCCCTGGCTGTTCCTTTGTGGCTGGGTTTTGTTGATAGCAAGCCCAACTAAAGCCCACAACCTTGTGCAGTAGAAGTCCTCAAAAGTCAAAACAAGGAAACCACAAACACAGTAGAGAGAGAGAGAGAGAGAAATGAAGCCGTTGGGGTGGTGGTTGATGCTCGTGGGCTCACTTCGATTGGCGTCAGTTTGGTTTGGTTTCTTCGATATATGGGCTCTCCGACTCGCCGTCTTCTCCAAGACCACCAGTAAGCATTCTCTCTTTCCCCTCTCTCTGATAAATCTACTTCATACTCATACATTTATGCTCCTGTTGTTATTCCTTGATCGATTTCAATGTCCACAGTTTGATCTACAATGTGTATTAGTAATCGAGTGCACATGTTAACAGTTTGATCTACAATGTGTATTAGTAATCGAGTGCACATGTTAACAGGAGTGTGAAACAGATTGTGTGTACAAGTTTATGTAGTCTAATGTTTTGATTTGATTTGATTGTGGCAAAGTTTGTTGGATCCAATATATATCGAATTCTCTTGCTCACGGCTGTTGTTTGGACCTTCTCAGTGTTAAACTCACCGAAAGAATGTAGATGAATCTCTTCTAATGAAGACTATGTATGATATAGATCTTAGCTGCAATTATAGTCCATTTCCATGATAATAGGAACTTGACATTTTTATTTTTAGTTTTTTTTTTTTCTTCCTGAAATTGAGTAATTAGGCGAGGAGTTTTAATAATTATTTCAAAAGAATCTTGGACAGCTAGAGTGATATTATGTTCCGTAACATTGATAGAAAGCGCATGAAATTTTGCACATAACTTTCCTACAAATGGCCAATAAATTTTTCAATGTTGAATTGATATGGTTGTTGTTGAATTAAGTGGCCTGACAACCTATGGCTAGCAAGGAACAGATGTGTCGATGGTTGAAAGGCTAGCGAATACAGTTCCATTATTTTAGGAATTAGGCTTAGGGGGCCGACTAGAAAGAGCTAACCTAATTCGATTTCATTATCCTACTAGAGGAGCGGGAAACAAGACAAAAAAGATCACTAAGGGGTTGAAAACCAACCCTAGTACTCCCTTATTAGATAGAGGTCTCTCGAGCCTTTTGATATGAATCTTGAACACTACTTGGATAGATGTATGTCAATTTCAGACATAAAA